AAAATATACTAGATCTATACTATTTAGCCTATGTTTATAAATAATGGTTCCCTCTGACAAAGCTTCTACATGAGTTAATTTCTCTAGTGGATATTTGTACGAAAGGTCTGATCAAAACTTACGATGCAATTAGCATGCTTGCAACACCGAGAAGCTGGAGACGCTTTCTTTCAATACAATTTCGAGAGAGAAACCGATCAATAACATTCACAGTGAGGTAGAGTGTATCTGGAACCAACTTGTATTCGTCAGAAACCTGAAAAAACAGTTGATCATCAACAAAATTGACGTTGACAAAATATTTTTGTTTAACTATTCCAAGCACATTGGTATTTAACAGCACAAGTATAGACGAGTATGCCATGTAATGGTAAAAAAACTAATAGTAAGCATTTCATTAAAAATAAAACTAAACTAAAAAAATGCATTCAAAGAGTTCTATTATCCCATGTAAAGGATTTTTGTCAACTTCGTGTCTTTATGCAAGTTAATCAATATAACATATCAATTTGGTCAAAGTAAAGCTGCAACAGTGATGAAACGGACCTCTATAAGCCAATCAACCAGTATTCCTCGCATGTCTGCAGTGATATCTCGCTGCAACTGTTCCATATAGGTAGTTGAGGCCCTTTGATCAAGCTGAAAATAGTAGAAAAAATTCAGCTAAAAGCGTCAATCAGTCATTTTTATATAAAGTGCAATCATCTAAAGTGTTTCTTTCAAAGAACCAATTCAGCTGCTTCCTAATAATTTCAGAAGTTTCATATTTCCCTTTACAATTTAGAAAACTACTTTCAGGTGAAAGAGACAATAGAAAGCAGAATGTCACCTTCACCAGATCCTAAGTTGGCTTGGCTCACTTAGTGTTGAGTGAGTGCCACACAATCGCCAAATCCGCTGTCAAGAAAAGTGCGATTGTGACATGGGGCATCCTCTCATCTATATTTTTTTTACTAATGGACGACCCTAAAGTCAGAAGTTTCATATTTCCCTTTTACTAATTATGACCTATGGCCTTAGACAAATGCAGCATCTGTATTAACTATGGCAATGCAACAATGGCCAACAGTGAACAGTAAGTCCTTAATACAAACCTCCGTCACACGTATTCTGTCATATATGTCTGGAGCATATATGCTGCATGATTGAAGACATTTGGAGTTTGAATCAATGTCTATAACACCTGTATCACTTGATGCTGCCGATTGTTCAGATGCCATATATTTTTCTGCAAAATTTTACAATGGTATTACTGTCTCTCCTTGCTAATTCAAGGCCGCAATGCTTATATGCTACGTTAATATGATGTTCAATTGCCACTGACATTATTTACATAATGCTATCAATAGAATTGATAATTAACAGTTCACTTCATGAAGGACCCATTTCCAATCAATTTTTGCATGATGTTCAATTTTCCTACAAAACTAGAACATTCTGCGAGCTAATTAATTGTGCTCTACCACAAACACTGCAGATACAGTTCTTGCAGCAGACTGAGCATCAAATTGTAGGTCAATTTTTTTCCAAAAGAAGGAAAAAAAAAAAAAAGAAGTTTAGAATTAATCATCCATTCTTCAAAGTTCAAACCATAGTGCATAAAGACAACAAATACAAAGTCACTGTAATTTTAGAGAAGTTGCATACCATTCGGCTGAGGGATAGATTCTTCTGAAGATACAGAGAGAACCATATCTAAAACTCCACATTCTCCGCTGGTGTGACAAAGAGTTTCTCTTAAAGATACCTCTCGCGATTCTACCACCCTTATTTTAGATAAGTCCTCAGCTAGTCTTGTGTTTTCATCTTCTTCTGCTCCTAGAATTTCTACAGGAGCATTTAAAGGCGCATTTGCCTTAGCTTTAGCAGAAATTCTTCTAGTTGGTTTGTCTCCCTGTCAAACCGTGGTCATTAGCAGTTAAGAATTGCCTATATCGACAGCGCCAGCATGAGTCACATCAACATTTCACAAAGAAACAACAAAACATAAGTCAAAAGATTCAAGTTCACCTGAATATTAGAAGCATTTCTGCAATTCTTATCAGAACCTTTGGTGGAAATGTTAGTCACATCCTTGAGCACTGCTCTTCTTTTATTAGGAAGGCCACTGGAAGAAATTGAACAAATGTTAATATCATCAGATGCCACTCTTTTTGAGTTAGCTCGTACAATATGCTTCTGAACTCCAGAAGATTTTGAGGAGCATGGAACGTCTCCTGATTCGCTTAATTCTTTTGCCCGTGCTCTCGTGATTCTACCAGAGCGATCTTCAACTTGAAAACTAACGTTTACAATACTCATTTCTACTGCCTTGAAGACCAGCGGTTCATTACAGCAGATCAAAAATCATTTTCATTGAAGCTGCATAGCCAACATAAAATAAACAGGTAAGAACGATCGCTAGGTGATTACACTTCTAGAGAAAAATTTCAATAACGTGCATAACTGCTATGACACTCGATCCGTGATTTATTCTATGGCTAGGTGATGAAGCTGTTACAGTGCAAGTAAAAGAGAAACGAAAGATCGTTTCGAGTACCTTCTACATTTTCAAACAAGCTTACGAACATAGATAATAACTATCATAAACATTAGACATCACGAGAGCCCGAGGTGCAAACCTAATATGTTTATTTTTATCCCGCACCGTACAAAACTTCCTATCTCTCCTCTCCCTACCCCCACCCACCCAATACAAATCCTCTCGCCATCGCCGCCCACGAAACAGGGAAGAAGAAAACACTCTCGCTTCCAAATCAAATTTCCGGCACCAAAACGAAGAACATGGATGCAACAACAAGAAATCAAGAAGTAAGCTCAAGAATCCGCATGATTTAAACGGAAAGACAAAGGCCAGATCATTAAACGTAAGCTAGATTTCTCAATACACTTAAATAAAACGGAAATCGGCGTTGTGGATTCAGGACATGCACAAAAACCAAGTAAATCGAAACGCCCACAATAATCATCCTTCATCATAGTTTCGAAACCGCTAAAACATCCAAACAAACGTTTAAACACACAAAATAAATACTCGTAAAATTCAGAGAAAGAGATCAGAACAATATCAATACAAAGCTTGAGCTTACAGGCTGACAAGAGCTCCACGTCCTCCAATGGCGGTCTACAGAGCTCTAAGCAGAATTACAGAGAAAGAGCGGGAGAAGCTGAGCTTTGGACAGGGAGAGACATTGAGAAATGAGAGAGATAAATATAGAGTGGAGAGCGTCAAAGGAGCGTGAGCGGGAGACGAAGGTACAGTTTGAACTTCCATTTTAAAAAATATATATTTAAAATAATAAATGCTGTAATTTTATATTATTTAAATATATCCTCGCGCTATTTTATTTTATTTTTTATTAATATTTAAGCCTATATAAACGTTACTTCTTTTTTACAACTTTATTGACTTTTTATACCAAATTTTAAATTTTTTAACAAATAATCATTTTTATTTTGCTATTTTCAGAAGAAAAAATAATCGTCATTGGGAGAAAATTATGGTAATTTTTAAAAATAAAAAACAAAATATTTCTTATTTTATTTTTTAAAAGTAAGCTTATAAATGCTGCATATATTTATATAAAAAAAATTATATCTATTTTAATCTCATTATAAAAAAAGGTAAGCTCATTAAAATATATATAACTAAATTTAGATACTTAGAAGTAAATAAATTAAATGACAATAATCAAATTTTAATATAAAATTGTAAGATTATATCAATTTGAATGAACATTAACAAAGTTATTTAAATAGTTAATTTGTGATAAATTAAATAATTTTTCGTTCAAACTTTATTTTATTAAACCTTCAGTGTTTTTTCTAATAATTTTATTTAATTTTTATAAATGGATTCAATTGGAACTTTTTTAATCTTTAAAATTATGAAATAAAACAAAATTGGGCTTTTTGATTATATTGAAAGTGGCAGATAAAAAATAAAATAAAATAAAAACTTATGATTGAATTAATTATTTGTATAATTCTATTTAATAAAATAAGAGGGAAAATAGTAAAAATGAGTGATCATTTACGATTATAATAAATATTAAAGGAAACAAAAATAATGTTTCGTCCGGATTTCACAATCTTCCTTTCTTGGGGGCTCAACGTCCTATTTTGGCACACCGCTCAGTGTTTGGCCCTAATATTAATTGTGACAGTTCAAGTCCACCGCTAATAGATATTGTTCGCTTTTGCCAATTATATATCAACACCAGCCTCACGATTTTAAAATGTGTCTATTAGGTTGTTTCCAACGTGGGACATCACAATCCACCCCCCTTCAAAGCCAGCGACCTTGGCACTCTTTCCTTCCTCCAATGGATGTGGGACTACCCCCAAATCCACCCCTTTAGGCCCCAGGTTCCTTACTTGCACACCGTTTCGTGTTTACCCCCTTCGGGGAACAGCGAGAAGGCTGACACATCATCCGGTGTCTGGCTCTGATATCATTTGTAACGATCCAGATCCACCGCTAGCAGATATTATCCTATTTGGGCTTTCTCTTTTGGGTCAGAATTCCTTCGAATATATCCTTGAATTCATTCGAGACGTGAGAAAAACTCAAATTGGCGAAGAATATGGTCCGTGGGTTCCCTTTATTGGGTCAATCTATTAGGGACAGGGCTACATAGTTCTGTGGGCCTTTCGATACAATCAAATAGAAAGCCCCAAGTGCGCCATATTCTAGGAGCCCAAACTATGTCCTAAAGGCTTTAAAATGTGTCTTATTTCGGATTTTCACACCATTATAAGAAATGTTTCGTTTCTGTTTCTAATGAAATATAAGACCTAATTTAAGATTTAGAGATAAATAAAGTCACATTAAGTGACAGTTCTATGTCAAAATTAAATTTGTACCTTGGGTTAAACTTTAATATATAATGAATTTCGAAGAAATACGATATTAAAGTTATTTTTATCAAATTTAATTAAAAAGCTTTAACTTAATCCTTAAAAAAATACTTGGTAAAATAAATGGCCTAAACGATTATTGCGCCGAATGAGTTTCCGATCGCGTTGCTCTTTGGACTGGACTGGAATCGTGCGAGTTCGAGACTGTTGAAAGCTGTTTTCGATCATTTCGAATCGTCTCTCATGTTATTGTGTTCACAAGTTCGAACCTGTTGGATTTTATTCTGTCCCTACGAGACATTGTTATCTGCCTCATCATCGTGATTGCGAAATGGAGGGAGTTTGAAGGTTATTTGCTTTGTAAGATGCATAAGTTTGAAGAAGTTTTTGAAGAATTTAACACGATTTGTCGAGGAGTTGTTTCTCAATATCTTGCGTTCTGCAGATTGCACGATGAATTCCATCTGAAATTGTTTCTCGAGGAATTGTCTTCTACAATTGTTTTTTGATTTGTCGAGGATCTGTCGAGGAATTGTTTCTCAATATTTGTCGAGGAATTGTTACCTGATATGTATAATCAAAATGCCGATTCTCTCCGTGCTAGAAGAACATCTATTGTTCGTAAAGCTGTGGCAATGTCTGAAATGTTGAAGGTCTGTATAAACCCTAGAGTGCTTGTCAAACGCAGAATTCCATCTGAAAATGCTGTATTTAGTGCAAATAGATCGATAATTGATGTCAGGAAGAAATCCAATCTGTGACTGTTTGAATCCATATACTTAAATTTTTCTCTGTTCATTAGTCGAGCAGAAGATGACTTGAGCTACATAATTTTTCCACAGGAATCTCTGGAGAAACTCCAACAAATGGATCAGCTTAGAGAATTATTTGTAATAGAAAGAAGAGCTTTCAAGAATTCAGATGAAATTTGAATGTGGAACAGAACGTAATTTCGCTTGAGTTGTCTAAGGAAGGACAAGTAGACGGTTGGCGATCGACTTTTGAGCAGTTCAAGAACAACACTGTAATTCAAATCCTCAACTCTGATTTTCGCATTTCATTTTGCTAAATCTCTTTTGTTTTTCATATCTGTAATCCAAACCATAAACCATTTGCTGAATTTCAACTATGAAGTCAGATCATGGGACCAAACTTGGCTAGGCAGAGAGAAAATCAAGGATGGAAGTGTTGAATTATTCAAGCACATGACACATGTGAGTGTTGCTGAAAAGCAAGGTTTTTCAACAGAATGATGATGAAACCCACAATTGTTGGGAAGTGCTTTGCAACCAAACTCTGTTGAATTGCATCATTGTCCATTAACAATGTCGAGGGGAGCTTTGTCAATTTGCGCGCTTTCTCTGATTCGATCGGAGTATTCAATTTCGCCATTGTTGAGATGCTCAATTGATTTCTTTGCTCGTGCAAAAGGTTAACAATCTTTAGATGAACTAATGCGAATAAGTGTACGCTTCCATACTCGGAAACACTCTATGCTGACTACGCTCAGAGACACAAAAGCACATGTAATACTAGTTGTTGGAGGCCGTTTGCTTGTTAACACGTGTTTAATAGATTTCTAAATTTACACAGCCTCTTTGAATCATTTTTTTTTATGGTAGAAGGTGGAATCCACACCTTTTTCAAGTTCTTTGCAACTAATTTGATTGGGGTATGAAGTCACAATTTACCATCTTTTTTGATTCTATGTTCGAGTGTATTAGTTAATTATTAGCTTTAGTAATCTTTAAACGAGGCATGCTTTGCCTTTTGATTATAATTCACCATGGTTCGTTCTTATCCTTTTGTATTAAATATCACACCACTTCAAAGTGGGGATTTTGAAACGTAATTTTGTATTAAACTTCTTGTGATAGAGGAATTGAAGGTATATGAACAAACTGAGATCATGTACCACAGAGAGTGATTAAGATGACTAAAAAATTTGGTGACTCAATCATAGAAACTAGATGGTTAAGCGTGCTTTACTTAAAACAATTTTATGTTCGGTGATTTTTTAGAATATTTTTCCTAAAATATATGTAAGTAATGACAAAACATGTTAGAAGGACCCGTGACATGCGGATGATTCGAATCCGAGCATGGGGTTGTTATACGTCTACTCATATTCTCCCGATTCATTGAAAGTTTTTAAGTATTTTTAAAATATTATTAATCTTAAAAGTATTTTTTTAATTTTTAATTTTTAAAGATGAAGGATATTTTTTAAGTTCATTTTAATTCATTGAAAGTTTAAATATATTTGTTAAATAAAATTTTAATGGTTTTAATTCAAAATTATAATATTTGTTATTTTTTAAAAAATAAAAGTATTAATGAAACTATAATATATATTTTTTTATTAATTTAAACTATTTTAAATACAAATAACCAAAAATCAAACACTAAATTTTCTGAATGGTGACTCCAAGTGGAAGGAGCTGCCCTCATCGTTCAACATTTTCATCATTGATATTTCTCTGAACAATTCCTTTCTCCATGTGATTTTGATGAGCTCGACGCCGGTTCAATTGTTGATTCTCGAGCTACAAACCAACAAACTCACTGAATTTCTCATTGTTTAATCAGAATCGGATGAAGTTAAGAAACTGAATGCCTCACCGGCGCCGGCGTCGGAAAGTTTCTCAAGATGCTTTTCTCTGCTCTTTATCTCGAGAAAAGAGCCTGATTCTTTCAGTTTCCTCTCTCTTCTGATTCTTTTTGCCTTTTTGTTTTTCTGTATGTTTCTTTCCAAAAACCGAGTTTCTTGTCTTTTGTTTTTCTCTACACTCTTGCTCTTTATGCAGAGTGAAATGGATGCTTTCGTAAAGAGGCACTGCTTGTGGTTCTGTCTCTAATGGCTCGTCAGGGCGCCGATTCCAATGCTGGCTACTGCAGCAATGGTGAGAAGAAGAGTACGAGACAGGTTCAACAGCTAGGTAATTCGATCTTCCTTGATTTTCTTGTCATTAGGACCAAAGATGCTTCTGAACTTTTGTCAGCGAAGACGCCGGATATAAGTTCGTCAGAGGCATCGACGCCGCCGTCGGCCTTGGCTTCTTCTAGCGGTGGCCGTGAACTCCTCTCCGCCGCCTCCGATCTTGCTTCTGAGCTGTTTGTTAACAATCGTCGTCTTGAATTTGCATTTTTCTAGGTTATTTAGTGTGTCCTGGTTTCTGTTTGAATGATTTTGTTGAATTGCTTCTTCTTTTGGCTTGAGTGACTTCGAAATTTGTTGGTTTTCCTTTTGTTTTGATGAATATTACGATCATTATCGTCTTCTCGATGCTTATCCAATCCTCATTGAGGGTGTTTGTTCATTTTTGGTTGAATTTTTGAGTAGGCAGCTTTTGATTATAAAATATTGATTTTCATGTGTGAACTCATCTTTTCTGTTTAAAATTGACTATCGTGGTTTTATTAAATTTTTCTTCCTACAAACGTAGAATTTCTGTCTGCAATCCTCTTTCCCTTTGCTCTTTATGTCACTGTAAAGTGTAATGGATTGATTTCTGTGAGGTCACCATTGTTTAGAAGCTTTCTGAAATACCTCTTTTTCGTTCATTCTTTTCAACACTATGTGCTATTCTGAGATGGAAACTACAGTTAATTTTCCAGAATCTTCCTTTCTCCATTGTTAATTTCTCCCTACTCAGGCCAGAAATTTCATTCAGCTTGAACAGAACAAAGTGACGCGCATGCTTTATTTTGATTTCATCTTTCAAGCTTGTACTCAACTTATTGACATATTTGATCATGAATCCTTTCTGTGATTATTTGCTTACTTGATTCTCATATGACGTAAATTTACTCTGTTCCTCTCTTCGTGATCGATAGAACATCAGGTGGGAGATTATCTTGAAGGGGTTCCATTCTACAGTCCGAGGAATGAAATTTCTGGACCTGAAAATAGAAACCGAATAGCAGGGATTAAACGAAGTAATCCAGATTCTGCTTTCATGGAGTCATTTAGAAACCAAATTCCTCATGTAAGCCTCTGATTCTCATGTAAACTTTTAGTTTCTTTAATCACATTCCATGGAAGTGAAAAGGACTTATAATTTTGTTTAAACTTCATCAGATTCTACAAAACGGAGCTGGTGGAGATCGACCAAGATACAACGATAATGAGGTGGTTTACAGTATGCAGCCACCAAGAATTGCTTCTTCTTCACTCACACAACTTTCTCTTGGCACTAGATCTAATCCTAGCGTTTCCAAATGGGAGAGGCCTATTCCGTTGAACATGAGTTTTGCACCAAATTCTCCACTTGGGAGTCTGTATATGCCGCGTGTTCATCAAGTAGCTTCCAATTCTTCCAGAGATTTTAATGTTTCTCCTTCCAGTATTTCTCAGTCTGCTGCTGATGAAGGATCTAGAACTGGGATGAAAAGCCCTGGACTTTTAAGTAGCTTTAACGGCGGACACGATGGGAGGCACTCATATAAGATGTTGCTAGGTTGTGACAAGCAGAAAACCAAGACTGAAGGTTTAGCATACAAATCTTCGAACCCTCCAAGGTAAATTCCAGACCACATCATTTTGAACCGTTTCTATTGATAACCATTTGATTTTTGAAAATTGTGTTTGTTCTTAGCATCATTTTCATCTTTCTTTTAAGTAAATTTGAGTTCTTAACAAATTTTCAAAAACTAAAATATGTTTCTGAAAACTACTTGTTTTCGTGTGTATGTATGGCCTTCGAACCTTGAAAAATGTCTAATAAATTTTTGAATCTTCAATTTTTGTGTTTGGTCGTCTCCATATCTTTAAAATGTGAGTAATAGATTCTTAAACTCTTATTTTATGTCTATTAAGTTTTTAAATTTTATTACACACTTTTGAAATTTATGTATCTACCGGCCATAAAATTGAATTTTTGGGTTCTATTAGACATAAAATGATCAAAATTTGAATACGTCATGTAGACCCATTAGATTCAAAATAGAAAGTTTAAGGGTCTATTCGATACAAAATGGAGTCTAAGAGTGGTTGCTTGTTAAACAATCTATTGTGGCAGTCAGCAGGGTGTTGATTCTAACAACAGACAGATGACTATTTTCTATGGTGGTCAAGCTCATGTTTTTGACGATGTCCATCCAAACAAGGTAGTTTTCTTATCTTGCAATGGCTTCTTGGTTTCAAAAGTATTCTTTATACTATTTTCATGTTTGCTCGAACTTTTGAACGGATAAGCTTACCGTGCATGCTTCATAAAGACTTGTCGACTTTGGCTATGATAGAATTTTGAATCAAATGAGCAAATGGCAACATACATTAGTGAAATAATCATTTAATTACAAGTCCAAGAAGCATGTATATGTTGAGGATTGTTGGGAGGGAATCTCTCATTGGCTATTCCCGATCATGGGTTTATAAGTAAGAAATATATCTTCATTGGTACGAGACCTTTTGGGAAAGCCCAAAACAAAGCCACGAGAGCTTATGCTCAAAGTGGATAATATCATACCATTGTAGAGAGTCATGATTCCTAATGGGATAAATTTTGTTCCACATCATTGTTAGAGAAAATTTTTCGTTTTAGAGTATATATCCATCTCGAGTGTCTGACCAAGCTTTATAAGGAAGAATCATGTATGCATGTTTAATCACTTAAATGTAAGATGCGTTAGCTAAGATATCAGGACTTTACTCATGTAGAAATTCTTTTTTCTTTATTTTTTCTGTTAATTATCCATTAATCTTGGTGGTTGCTGCTGCATATTTTTCAGGCTGATATTATAATGGCCTTAGCTGGATCAAATGGGGGATCTTGGTCAACAACCTTGGCACCTAAACTGAATGCAACTGGGATATCTAGTAACCAGGAATCAGCTCATGGAAAGTTATTTCATAGTTTGATATCCACCAGTCGAGGAGTTGGTGATACTCCTATCTCGACGCAAGCAGGTGATTCTAACTTATAACGAGATTGGATTATCTAATTAATTATGATTAACAACAAAATATATTGGTATAGGTATAGTCTCCAAGTTTTGTTACAATTAGTTTCCAAGTTGGACGATAAGATTCTGTAATATCATTAGCATTAGAACTTCTGTTGCAGTCTTTCATTTATAGGTTCAATTTAATGCCCTTTATACATTATAATTGACAAACCAAAACCAACATCCTGGCTGTAGCTGTTGGTGATCGTGCAGCGAAAGAGACCCGAGAACCGTAAAAAGAGAGACGAGTCATAAGATTGCTGTGAGAATCAATCTCATTGCCATTTTTGTCTATCAGTTGCTTGTTTTTGCAAATAGCAGTCGATTATACGACAACAATGGCTTTCGTTCCATCCCCGTCCAACTGTCACCATTCTCGTGCCTTTTGTTCGGAACAACCAACCAGGATGATCATCATGCAGCAAGAGGTCAGTACCCCAACCTTAAGGGTAAAGGGATTTATAGTGGAAAATCTTGTGTTGTTAATTCCTGTTTCATCAGCAGCATTCTCATTATACATTATTTTCTATTAGTTGGTTGCTTCAAAGCTTGCTATAAAATTTCCCATATTATATATTGTTAGACCTTTCTTGCCCCTAATAAGATCCAATGTCATATCATAGAAGCACTCTTTCTGTCAAGGGTATTTTGGTCCTTTTGATACTAAGGTTAAAATGGTAATTTTAGCCTTTCATGCCACTTCGGTAAAATAAGATAATAGCTTCCGAACTCAAAATGAAATAAAAGATAAACTAAATAAATATATTGTCAAGTGTACATGTTGTACTGCATGTACTACAGCAACGCCTTCTGAATAAAGCCAATCTGTACTACATTACATTTCAAATCTTTTGTTCAATTTTGCCTAAACAGAGAATTATTCACGTCGATCATAACGATCGGCAAGTTGCCATTGATGTGATTTGGAGATGTTTATAGAGAGAAACAGTATTTGGAGATGATTTTAGAAGAAATTACTTGAATTGCTGGAGCATATGCACTTGTCTCCCACTTCCGGCGCTGCGACGGCCTCGGGAGGTTCCCAGGCACGATGATCTCGAGAGAATTGGCTCTCCATGAAGCGCAGTGTCTTTTGTCGCTCCATCTCGAAATCTTCACACGCCTAGAATCGACCAGTTGCTGCGGCGATTCGAGAGCCGGAGATTCACCGGCAACGAAGACGTCGCCGAGTTCGATTGCGAGGATCAAGCTCGCTAAACCGAAAGCACATCGGAGTCGGTTTCTCCACGACCTTTCATCTTCCTTCCTGTATTTAATCGAGGAATCAGAGTTGATTAATCGATTCACTCACACCGATAGTCGAGCGGCTTTGGTGGAATCAAATGAGTTTGAATCGGGAGATCGAGGAAGGAGAAAAACTGAAGAAGATGAAGAGTTGATTCTTATAGCCATTATCTCTGATTTTTATTTCTCGAAGAAAAAGTCTAACAATTAAGAACGAGAGGGGCTGCAAGTGTGATGCTTATATATAGAGAGTGGTTTTGGAAAACGTTTAGTTACATCTACTATTGAACAAAGCAATTATCGTAATTGCTAAACCGGACTACAAACGCTAGAAATACAATGATAGTGCCTGTGAGCAAAGACTTAGAAACGGTATCCTAACCGTTGGAATGGAATGTAGTTCAAAATTGTATTAAGTTACCGTGATAGTGAAGCTCAAAATTGCGTTTGTCGGGAGTTAAACCCGAGTCTATTGCTTGGAAGGCAATTATCCTAACCGTTGGACTACAAACGCCAGAATTACAATGACAGTGACTGTGAGCAAAGACCTGGACACAGTATCCTAACCGTTGGAATGGAATGAAGTTCAAAATTGTATTAAGTTACCGTGATAGTGAAGCTCAAAATTGCGTTTACCGGGAGTTGAACCCGGGTCTATTGCTTGGAAGGCAATTATCCTAACCGTTGGACTACAAACACCAGAATTACAATGACAGTGACTGTGAGCAAAGACCTGGACACGGTATCCTAACCGTTGGAATAGAATGAAGTTCAAAATTGTATTAAGTTATCGTGATAGTGAAGCTCAAAATTGCATTTGCCGGGAGTTGAACCCGAGTCTATTGCTTGGAAGGCAATTATCCTAACCGTTGGACTACAAACGCCAGAATTACAATGACAGTGACTGTGAGCAAAGACCTGGACACGGTATCCTAACCGTTGGAATAGAATGAAGTTCAAAATTGTATTAAGTTACCGTGATAGTGAAGCTCAAAAATTTCATTTGCCGGGAGTTGAACCCGGGTCTATTGCTTGAAAGGCAATTATCCTAACCGTTGGACTACAAACGCCAGAATTACAATGACAGTGACTGTGAGCAAAGACCTAGACACGGTATCCTAACCATTGGAATAGAATGAAGTTCTAAATTGTATTAAGTTATCGTGATAGTGAAGCTCGAAATTGCGTTTGTCGGGAGTTGAACCCGGGTCTATTGCTTGGAAGGCAATTATCCTAACCGTTGGACTACAAACGCAAGAAATACAATGACACTGACTGTGAGCAAAGACCTGGACACGGTATCCTAACCGTTGGAAAAGAATGAAGTTCAAATTTGTATTAAGTTACCGTGATAGTGAAGCTCAAAAATTGCATTTGCCGGGAGTTGAACCCGGGTCTATTGCTTGGAAGGCAATTATCCTAACCGTTGGACTACAAACGCAAGAATTACAATGACACTGACTGTGAGCAAAGACCTGGACACAGTATCCTAACGGTTGGAATGGAATGAAGCTCAAAATTGTATTTAGTTACCGTGATAGTGAAGCTCAAGATTGCGTTTGCCGAGAGTTGAACCCGGGTCTATTGCTTGGAAGGCAATTATCCTAACCGTTGGACTACAAACGCAAGAATTACAATGACACTGACTGTGAGCAAAGACCTGGACACAGTATCCTAACGGTTGGAATGGAATGAAGCTCAAAATTGTATTTAGTTACCGTGATAGTGAAGCTCAAGATTGCGTTTGCCGGGAGTTGAACCCGGGTCTATTGCTTGGAAGGCAATTATCCTAACCGTTGGACTACAAACGCAAGAATTACAATGACACTGACTGTGAGCAAAGACCTGGACACAGTATCCTAACCGTTGGAATGGAATGAAGCTCAAAATTGTGTTTGCCGGGAGTTGAACCAGGGTCTATTGCTTGGAAGGCAATTATCCTAACCGTTGGACTACAAACGCAAGAATTACAATGACACTGACTGTGAGCAAAGACCTGGACACAGTATCCTAACCGTTGGAATGGAATGAAGTTCAAAATTGTATTAAGTTACCGTGATAGTGAAGCTCAAAATTGCGTTTGCCGAGAGTTGAACCCGGGTCTATTNGGGAGTTGAACCCGAGTCTATTGCTTGGAAGGCAATTATCCTAACCGTTGGACTACAAACGCAAGAATTACACTGATAGTGACTGTGAGCAAAGACCTGATAGTGACTGTGAGCAAAGACCTGGACACGGTATCCTAACCGTTGGAATAGAATGAAGTTCAAAATTGTATTAAGTTACCGTGATAGTGAAGCTCAAAATTGCGTTTGCCGGGAGTTGAACCCGGGTCTATTGCTTGGAAGGCAATTATCCTAACCGTTGGACTACAAACGCCAGAATTACAATGACAGTGACTGTGAGCAAAGACCTGGACACGGTATCCTAACCGTTGGAATAGAATGAAGTTCAAAATTGTATTAAGTTACCGTGATAGTGAAGCTCAAAAATTTCATTTGCCGGGAGTTGAACCCGGGTCTATTGCTTGAAAGGCAATTATCCTAACTGTTGGACTACAAACGCCAGAATTACAATGATAGTGACTGTGAGCAAAGACCTAGACACGGTATCCTAACCATTGGAATAGAATGAAGTTCTAAATTGTATTAAGTTATCGTGATAGTGAAGCTCAAAATTGTGTTTGCCGGGAGTTGAACCCGGGTCTATTGCTTGGAAGGTAATTATCCTAACCATTGGACTACAAACGCAAGAATTACAATGACACTGACTGTGAGCAAACACCTGGACACGGTATCCTAACCGTTGGAAAAGAATGAAGTTCAAATTTGTATTAAGTTACCGTGATAGTGAAGCTCAAAATTGTGTTTGCCGGGAGTTGAACCCGGGTCTATTGCTTGGAAGGCAATTATCCTAACCGTTGGACTACAAACGCAAGAATTACAATGACATTGAATGTGAGCAAAGACCTGGAAACAGTATCCAACCGTTGGAATGGAATGAAGCTCATAATTGTATTAAGTTACCGTGATAGTGAAGCTCAAATTTACGTTTGCCGGGAGTTGAACTCGGGTCTATTGCTTGGAAGGCAATTATCCTAACCGTTGGACTACAAACACAAGAATTACAATGACATTGACTGTGAGCAAAGACCTGGACACAGTATCCTAACCGTTGGAATAGAATGAAGTTCAAATTTGTATTAAGTTACCGTGATAGTGAAGCTCAAAATTGCGTTTGCCGGGAGTTGAACCCGGGTCTATTGCTTGGAAGGCAATTATCCTAACCGTTGGACTACAAACACAAGAATTACAATGACATTGACTGTGAGCAAAGACCTGGACACGGTATCCTAACCGTTGGAATGGAATGAAGCTCAAAATTGTATTAAGTTACCGTGATAGTGAAGCTCAAAATTGCGTTTGCCGAGAGTTGAACCCGGGTCTATTGCTTGGAAGGCAATTATCCTAACCGTTGGACTACAAACGCCAAAATTACAATGACAGTGACTGTGAGCAAAGACCTGGACACGGTATCCTAACCGTTGGAATAGAATGAAGTTCAAAATTGTATTAAGTTACCGTGATAGTGAAGCTCAAAAATTTCATTTGCCGGGAGTTNTATCCTAACCGTTGGAATGGAATGAAGCTCAAAATTGTATTAAGTTACCGTGATAGTGAAGCTCAAAATTGTGTTTGCCGGGAGTTGAACCCGGGTCTATTGCTTGGAAGGCAATTATCCTAACCGTTGGACTACAAACGCAAGAATTACAATGACATTGACTGTGAGCAAAGACCTGGACACGGTATCCTAACCGTTGGAATAGAATGAAGTTCAAAATTGTATTAAGTTACCGTGATAGTGAAGCTCAAAATTGCGTTTGCCAAGAGTTGAACCCAGGTCTATTTCTTGGAAGGCAATTATCCTAACCGTTGGACTACAAACGCAAGAATAAAAATGACACTGACTGTGAGCAAAGACCTGGACACGGTATCCTAACGGTTGGAATGGAATGAAGCTCAAAATTGTATTGACTGTGAGCAAAGACCTGGACACGGTATCCTAACGGTTGGAATGGAATGAAGCTCAAAATTGTATTTAGTTACCGTGATAGTGAAGCTCAAGATTGCGTTTGCCGAGAGTTGAACCCGGGTCTATTGCATAGAAGGCAATTATCCTAACCGTTGGACTACAAACGCAAGAATTACAATGACACTGACTGTGAGCAAAGACCTGGACACAGTATCCTAACGGTTGGAATGGAATGAAGCTCAAAATTGTATTTAGTTACCGTGATAGTGAAGCTCAAGATTGCGTTTGCCGGGAGTTGAACCCGGGTCTATTGCTTGGAAGGCAATTATCCTAACCGTTGGACTACAAACACAAGAATTACAATGACATTGACTGTGAGCAAAGACCTGGACACAGTATCCTAACCGTTGGAATGGAATGAAGCTCAAAATTGTATTAAGTTACCGTGATAGTGAAGCTCAAATTTACGTTTGCCAGGAGTTAAACTCGGGTCTATGGCTTGGAAGGCAATTATCCTAACCGTTGGACTACAAACGCCAGAATTACAATGACAGTGACTGTGAGCAAAGACCTGGACACGGTATCCTAACCGTTGGAATAGAATGAAGTTCAAAATTGTATTAAGTTACCGTGATAGTGAAGCTCAAAAATTTCGTTTGCCGGGAGTTGAACCCGGGTCTATTGCTTGGAAGGCAATTATCCTAACCGTTGGACTACAAACGCAAGAATTACAATGACACTGACTGTGAGCAAAGACCTGGACACGGTATCCTAACCGTTGGAATAGAATGAAGTTCAAAATTGTATTAAGTTACCGTGATAGTGAAGCTCAAAATTGCGTTTGCCGGGAGTTGAACCCGGGTCTATTGCTTGGAAGGCAATTATCCTAACCGTTGGACTACAAACGCAAGAATTACAATGACACTGACTGTGAGCAAAGACCTGGACACAGTATCCTAACGGTTGGAATGGAATGAAGCTCAAAATTGTATTTAGTTACCGTGATAGTGAAGCTCAAGATTGCGTTTGCCAGGAGTTGAACCCGGGTCTATTGCTTGGAAGGCAATTATCCTAACCGTTGGACTACAAACGCAAGAATTACAATGACACTGACTGTGAGCAAAGACCTGGACACAGTATCCTAACCGTTGGAATGGAATGAAGCTCAAAATTGTATTAAGTTACCGTGATAGTGAAGCTCAAAATTGTGTTTGCCGGGAGTTGAACCAGGGTCTATTGCTTGGAAGGCAATTATCCTAACCGTTGGACT